TCAACCCAATGCAGCCGATGAACCAGGCCACCAACTCAACGACGCCGGGCTGCATCGGGTTGAAGTTTTGCTGATAGTAGAAAAGCCTACTATCAGCAGAATTTTACTCCTCCACCAGTGTGATTAATGTTGTTTAGTCGAGTTTATCGCAGACTCAACGACACCAGGCTGCATCGGGTTGAAGTTTTGCTGGTAGTAGAAAAGCCTACTATCAGCAGGAATTTACTCCTCCGCCAGTGTGATAAATGTTGTTTAGTCGAGTTTATCGCGGAATCGCATTTGGTTGGTCAAGTACAGCTCGTCATTGTACCTCATCCAGACAGCCTGGCAATGCACACATGCCCCCGGGAGTCCACCAGAACTATGAGACTCTCAAGGGGCATGGCGTACACGTGAAGGGCCAAGCTGAAGGACATGCTTCCAGGGGAAGTTACTCGTGGGGTCTGCGACGAACACGACGTTCACAGCGCACTGTAGCGATGAAATCAGCACAAGGAATGTAAGAGGAGCTATTGTTAAGGTAGAGGAGTGCTCACAGTAGTGATTGATGGTCCCGAGGGAGATCTCACTCTGAGATCACAAGTGAGGCAATGCTCAGGGACAGAACTTGCTTGGACAGCTCCTGGAAGCAAGCTGGATGAGAATGTTTGCCGGAGGTGCTTTCGTGCTATACTCCTAAGGATCGACGGCGGCGAACATGAATGAGAAAATGGAGGTAGTCATGCCCATGGCTTGACTCTCGGTGGTGGCAGCTGGCTTTTATTAGCGAATAAGGCACTGGGAGACAGATATTTAGGAGTGTCTAGCTCACCTTGTCGTGAACGGCAGTCGCGTCACATCTAAGGACAGGAGCTTCGTGCACTAGGCACCTGGCTGAATCCATACAAGATGGCTGCAAAGCCATCTTCAGTGAAGGGTAAGGGAGATCTCTTGATATCAGATCGTAGGGTATATTTGAAAGTGAATGTCGATGAAAGAAAGTAGGAGAGGAGATTTTTGAATCCACAACCTCGAAGGGGAATATATAGGCAAAGAACTAGAATTGTATTCACTGCTAAGCTCGTTGTCGCCTGTTTTCCTAGGCAATAAGGGGGCTACACAATATCGAGCAGCTTCGACAGTCTTCTACTCTCACACGCTAACTCAGGCAACCAAGACCTTAATATTGTGTAAATTCGTCTGAACTCGTCGCTATTCCAAGGCAGTTACTCAGCTGTACACTTTCAAGGCATATCACCTGTTAAGGGGCAAATGGAGGGCAGGAACAGGTGGTCAGGCTCGGCTACAGAGTGGCAGATTATTGACTACCATAGAGGACATCCAGGGCCTAACACCTGGATTGGTCTTCAAAGTTCAAAAGTTGCTGGCTACTATGTCGAAAAGCATGTCAAACTGAATGATAGGGACAGAAAGGGCATTGCCTGAAAGAGAAGCTATACACTGTCGTGAGGTCCCAAAATCTCTACAAGGCTATCAAGGCAGTACTTTTGCTGTGGTAGCTGCTTCTAGATCCAAAATACTCTGGTGTTCTTTTACCCGTCTGAATTCTATATCAAAGAGCGCTTGAAGGAAGAGTAAGCGCCGAGTGCTAGCCAATCAAAGTTGAACTTGTCTGCTGCTTGTGCGCATGTCGAGCTTACCCAATCAATGTGTAGCATCCCCCTGCGGCTCGAAGGCATGGCAGTTACTACGACGTGTACAAAGACGATGGCTACATGGAGTCCACGGCTTTGGCCGAATGTACGTAAGAGCCTCAATGCAGATGATCATGGTAATGTGTTTCGACACTCGGGCCAATTGGAGTTTGGCCGAGAAGAGGCGAAACCCCAAGGAGTCTGATGCTCGAGGAAATGAAACAGCCCGTGGTGCTCGGACACTCGGATCGGCGAATCCTCTTTCTGATGAGCGTAGTACTCATGTCCTCGTAATTTGGAGTCACTCTACGGAAATCGTGCAAGGTGTTGAATGTTGTCTGAAGATCGATCGATAGATTCATCAAGACTAAGCAAGGATGCTATCTATCCTCCTCTTGAGTTGCCTTCCGCTGTAATGCTATCCCAAAAGACAGATCGCCCTACTTTGGCGGGTATATTCACCACTCGGTATCATTCAATCCCTTTCCCCCTCTTCCACTGTTCAAAAGCCAGTTTTGTCTACAGCCCCTTAGATCTCTCCACTGCTCAAATAACCCTCTCGAGGAACTCCAGCGCGGTATATAAAAAAGAAAAGAAAATAAGGACATTAGAATTTGACAGGATCTGCCAAACAACATAAGGTATAATAGATATAAAAAGCAGAAATGAAGGACCAAGTGCAAAAAGACACCTCAGTTCGCCGGTTCTCCATCTAGATATGCTGATTGATGATGCAATAGATGCCAAGCTGGGTGAGGGTGAATGCTTGAGTGGTTGCGGAAACGGTAACCGTCATCGAGCTGCTGTCAGAGCCCTAGCCAGCTGGCGACATAACAAAATGGCGAGATAGGTGGTAAGAGAATTGAGATAGATTCATCATTACTTCGTAGCGTCGAGTAGCGTAGTATAGTTGGGTATATATGTGGCGGCCGTGAAGAAGAGAGCAAGGATGAGAGTTGTCTGTTCATAGTTCCTGAATCCAGATCTAAAGAAATATGTTAGTTGCTTTGCCTGGATCGTAGATGTTACGTTTGTAGCTCACCTCCATCTTTCCGATGTCTAACCGTTGTTTCCGTGCTTGGGACTTGACAGTCATCATGACCATCTCAAGATCGTCCTGGTCACCCATGGTGATCATGTCACCATCTGGGGTATCGTCATCGCGAACCTTGATCTTGAAGCGTCGGCGGAGACCAAATTTGTCTCGGACACGATCAACCAGATCGGGAAACTCAACAGCAGCGCCAACCATGATGTAGCGAACATCGTCTGCGTGCACCTTGACGCGGACCTTTCGGATATCGGGTCTCCTGGATTGGCCTCTAGAAGAAGTGGACATTGAGCCGGTTCCCCGCCTCGTATTTGTGACCATTTCGAAGTCGCCTTCGTCGAACGAGCCATCGTCATAGTCACTGCCACCCTCGTCTTCTTCCTCGATGTATTGACGAGACTGTTGTCGGCTGCGACCTTGTGAACGGCGAGCTCCGCCACCACCTTGGTACATGTCGTATAGCTCGTCAGGATAGGCATCCTCCTCTTCATCATTGGATCGTCTGCTCCTGCCCGGATCTTGCCTCTGAGAATAACCTCTGCTGGGTGTTGCTGATGCCGCCCTGGATGGTCGTGCCCTTTGATCTTGAGGAGAGCTAGTCTTCTCGTACTTATCATTTGGTCTCGCTCTGTCAATGTTGAGTTTAGCTGGCGTCGGCTTCGGGCCGTTTCGAACAGAAGCGCCTCGGCTCATCGTGTTAGGCTTGTCATTCTCGGGTGGTGGCGTGGGTGGAAAGACATTACGGCCAACAGGTGGCTCTGACTGCTGTCTTCGACTCTGCAATCCAGGCTTGACAAGATTCGTTGCAGCAAACGAAATATTGTCTGCTGGTCTGTCATCCTTGGTCTCGGATTTACCGGCCTGTCTTATGTCAGATGAGGTCTATCTCATAGTAGCGGGAGTAACTCACGTTCTTGATCTCAGATCCAGCAAAGCCAGTGAAAGCATTAGCACGATCCGAGGCGGCGACCAATCGAGCCTTTCCGAGGTAGTCCTTGGTCTTCAGATTCCTGACCTTGGCCTCGTTTGGTCTATAGACAACACCAACCGGGATGGAGAAGACGGTGTAACCCTCGAGAAAGATTAGCGATAGAACACATATAACTGAGCTCGCAACAATTACCTCTGCCTCCTCCCTGATTGCCTCGTCGATGACATTGTGGTCTTCAACCACCTTCTCCTTCACTGCGTAAGACAGATCCTGCATACCGGCATCTTTCTGTTGGAGGTAGATGTAGCAGAGACCGCGATTGAACAGTACTTCGCAAGAGTACAGCTTGAATAGAAGACCCAATTGGGCGTAGTCGATCATCGTGTTGCCGCGAAGGTAGAGCAATGTATCATTGAAATTTGCCAATGCCTCCTCGAAGTCGCCAAGCAGGAAGTTTGAGACGCCTTGTTGGAAATATGCCACCGCCAGGTATTGATCTAATCTGATTGCTCGTTGATAGCATTCGACCTAGGCCCTTCGTGTTAGTCCCCCGTTGTGAGAACCGCTTAGTTAGAAGGAGCTGGACTTACGGCCTTCTCATGCTCGCCGAGAGTGGCATGGATGACGCCCATGTTGAAGAGAATCTTAGACGTATCGGCAACCTTCTCGAACTCCTTCAATGCCTCGTCGAACTCATTATTGTCGTAGCGCCCCAGGGCGGCGACCCAGGTCTCTATTTCCTGTTCAGATAGTCAGCGGGACCCGCACGCATGGCTCGACCCGAGAGTCTAAATCTCTAGTGCGTACCTGTTTTAGAGACATGGCTGCTAGGTTTGGTGTTGTAAGAAGGCGGAGACTGTCTTGCTACCGAAAGAGCAGAGAGGAGGGCCGCTCCCGCGACTGTCAAAGACGGGGAGGTATTTGGTGTAAAGAGCAGTCCACAGAGCAGAGGTGAGAGATCGTGAGGAGAGATTCCGTGCGAAGTTCAAACAGAAAGGCGCCGCAGGCGAGTGGGCGGTGGGGAGTAGATGTACTACGCTACAGGGGGGCGTACGGGTGTGGGTGTGGGTGTGGGTTTGGGTTTGGGTTTGGGTGGTCAGGGCAAGTAAGAAGGGTGGGCTGGGGCGGCGGGCGAAGGCGCTTCTGGCCGAGCTAGTGTAAGTCGTCCTTGGGTGCTGTCCCTTGGTGCTCTCGATTTATTAGTGCGCTGGTGCGCTGTGACGGGTTGACCGTCGGTGTTATCCCCGCTTTTTGGCTGCACGCCCGAATTGGATTGTGCACTTCGCTTGCACTCAGGCCTCGTCTTAGTGGCCGCTTGGCGTGTGATCAGAAAGCTGCCCCAAGAAATTGGTGCGTTCTGTGTCTCCCCTTCTCTGTGCCTGTTCTTCGGTGCAAGTGATGCTGCTCTGGTGCTGCAGCTTGCGATAATGGCTCTCGGCAATCGTCGAAGGATGCACGCCGTCCGAGGTAAGTGACTTGCTTGTCTGGGGTTGATGATGCAGCCCGTAGACGGGTAGGCTAGAGCGGAGACGAACGGATGTATGTAGGTACGAGATGCAGGGCAGGCCAGCGGCTCCTTCAGAGTTTCCTCTTCTCTCTCGTTCCTATCCGTCTTCTGATAAAGTACCAGCTAACGATGCCCGGATTCTTCGATGATCTATTTACAGCTCGAGCTGCTTTTGGTAACTCGCCAGTTGTGTAGTTGTATGATTAGGTCGGTATTCTCTTTCGCGGAAAGGACTGGATTTGGGTCGGCGGGAGATTGCTCGACTGCTAGTGGCTCTTGTTCGGAGAGGAATGAGTGGATGAAGGACGAAAAGCCAGCGCCTAACGGGAAAGGAATGGAAAAGTATGAAAAGAATGGAAGGTTGGAGAGAATAGAATGGCAACCCGCCTGGCCGCACCTTCTGGGGGACTTGCGAGGTACCGCCTGGGTGTATATCATGCAGGGCACGCAGATGGGCTCGTTGCTTCCTGGCTCGGAGTGGACAACCCAAACACTAATGATGCCTGTGCTCGGGGTGAAGCGGCGCTGAACCAGCCTGTATGACTGGGCAAGCCAGGGGCAGGAACAGGGACCGAGACGGCGACAGGGGCCAGGGGCTGTAGGCGGTTCAAGAGGGTGTGCCCTTATCAAAGTGTATCTCAATGGAGACTGAGGACTGTTACTTTGAAGTAAGACGGGGTGATCACTCTGCTGAGATGTCGACTGCTGTAGCCTTGATCAAATCTCGTAGGGGTTGTAGGGATGTTTGCCTGTGTGGGAGTGTCTTCCCCAGTTGAAGGATGGCGTTTCCCTCGACTTCCGTAGATCTCAAGTTGCTTAGCTTTAGACGGGAAAACAACTTGATCATGAATGGGGTTAGGATCGAATGTTTTTCGGAGTCAAAATCGAACCATCTCGACAAGCATAATAAGAGGAATCGAATGTTGATGTGCATTGGCATCCGTGTAAGAGACATGCCCAGCGTGTGTGTGCCAAGGGCCAAAGATGCCCGCCAATGATCTGGATGTTGAAGAGACCCTTGGCGGTTCGAAAAGAGCCCCGTCATAAACTTACAGAACGGTTCCTCAACGTGCGAACCACTCTACAGCCCAGTGATATGCCTTGCGTGGTATGAATCCCGCGATTGAGGTCTGAATGCTTGCTTCAACATCGAAATAGACATTGATCGCTTATAGACTGCGCTTAATACCGCTTACCGGCCTGATTATCTGCGACTTAGCCAACTGCCATCTTGATACAATGTTGGTTGCCGGCTGCCAGCCACTGCGATCATCTTTTTCTGTGAGATTGATTAAACAACGGTTCAGATTGAACGTGGCTTAGGCCGGCCAAAAGCCCCAACGTATGCACATGTGGCATCTGTATAGCCAATTTGGGACGTCAATGAAGGTTCTCGTGAGCTGTTGCCCTTGGCCGCGACCCATGCATGAATGCCATGACCATATAGCCTGTCGCAGACATCGTGGGTCTGTTGCGAATCAAGGCCTGTCCCGCTCATGCAGGAAGTGTTCCAGGAACTGAGCCACGGTTGTGATTGGCCCAGCCAACGGCACTTGTGCTTCGTCTCGTACATGAGGCGTTCCAAGGGCGCGTATCCTACCACGCAGTGGCCTCCACACCACCGTTATTTTGCCGTCCTGCCGTCCTGCAGATCCACCAGTTCCCCTAAGCCACGCTCTTTGTCGTCACTGTTCCTTAGGAGCCCTCCTGTACCGTGTATTGCTTGTTGGTTGTTACAGAAGCACCAAAGCTGTCATCGCGGTAGTCGCCAGAGATCTGCCTGGAAGCGGCGTAGGAGGCACAGCGGTACGCCTAAAAGTAAGGCGAGGAGAAACAGCTGAGGGATGGCATGTTGTAAGGATCTCAGCTGGCAACCAACAAATAGCAGTAATAAGCGATGAGAGGTGAGTTCTGTCAATTGGAGTAGCTGATTACGCGCCCACCAAGCCAATACTGCGTTCGCGGTATGGAACTATCACAATTGAACACTGTGAATCTCCTCGCAGCGTGCTATTGATTGCTATCCCGGGTCAAGAGTGTTCTCCGGCTGGATGGACCCGCATTGTCACATACAGATGTGATCAACAGAGCATGGCACTATCTATTGATAACACTCCGATGATGCCCGTGATCACGGACATGGCATCGAGCATGTCTGAATGGACGGCATAGTGGGGTTGTGCAGGCAATTGCAGAGCTCTGGCGAAGTGCTCACATGTGCAATGCAATCGTACCTTGCGCCATGCCCATGTTCCTGCATCGGTGTGGGAGACATTGATACTGACTTTGTGCAACCCTGCTGATACGGTCAGGTAACCCATGTGGTGTTAGTGATAGGAGGACAAGCTTCGTAGTCCTGGACAGTCGCCGACGGGATTCAAGAATGACCTTTGCCGCTGTGTCAGCTTGAACACTTGTCTACCTATGCTGGTACGCCTAGCAAATCGAGAGTAGAACTGACAAGCCTGACACCGGGAGGCTCCGACAGCTTCTTGATCATGATGTTGCATTGCGTATCCGTGCTGCGAGGCCATTTCTGGAGAGAAATCCCCGACGCAGATGCTTCTTTTCCCTTGCTATTGGTCCTTTCGTCCCTGATATTCGGGCTGTTCCAGTGAAGGGATCAGCAAGTGGGGAAGGGTAGGTTGGGTAGCCCACTTATGAAACTCGCTTGTCCTCCAGCCTGTCTCTCATCGCAAGAGAACGGACGCAATGCAAGATCTTAGCCAGCACGTGCTGGGACTGTAAAGAGGCTAAAGTCGATGCATGTAAATGTAGTTAATTAGCAGAGTGTCAAAAAGATTCTGGACGAGAGTGTAAAGCTCGAAGGAAGTAGTGGCGCGCTGGTAAATGCACCTTCCGCTGGTAAGTTAGGTCGCATCTACCATAGTTGGACCAATTCTCGAAATCTAGAACTCCCCTTCAGAACGGAAAGTGTCTCTTCACAACTTTCTTTTTTAGACACCCAGTTCGCCTGACCGTCCCTATACAACCCTATTCTAGTTTAGAAAAAAATACTATTGCAAGCAGAGTGACTTGGCCTCCACGTTCAGCAGTAGGGATCCATACCCAGCGCATGACTTAGCTGCCCTTCATCTGCTTGGTTACGTCAACAGCTTGGCCCTTCCTACGTTGGTTCCTGGTCTAGAGTCGTTGTCGAAACAAGCCTGGTTGAAATCGAAACCGCGGGCCACAGCCTCAACGGCCAAGGATCTCGACTCTTTCTGCCAGCATCCCTAAACAAGCCTGGTTCTTGTGCCGGAACCTCAAGAACCATCTACTCTAGAACTCGGGCTAAGAATTAAGGTGTTGCTGCTAGAGGCGTGGGGTCCCTGTCCGCCGTCTCAAGTCCCCTGCGCTGTCACTGCTCCGCCTCCCTTCCGGTATTCGATCGGTGGGGTCTTCTGCGACATGATCTGCCTCGAACAACGGGTGTCTGTGAGTTCCTAGCAGCAATTCGTCGTACACGTACTTCGCAGACCCCTTTTGAGATCGCATCAAGTGCCGACAGGAAGGAGCGAAAAAGCCTGGTCTGTACTTGGAAACAGGAGCCAAGCTTTGCAGTATCCGCCATCCTGTTGTTTTGACAGACCTCGCCTCACTCCAGCTGGCTGTCAGTCACTGACAAGGGTCCGGGTCTAGATGGGCATTCTGTCCAGGCTACCTAAGTACTCGAGTCTGCTCTCGCCGAGCTTCCAGCCAGAAAGCTTTTGCTTCTGGCGAAACACCCAAAAGAAGATCAGTTGCTCCTTTCCGATAGTAGATAATCTGTTGCGGTACCCAATGTTGTTTTTCCACTTCATCTGTACCTCCCCGAGACCGCGATACCAAAGATCGAATACGAAAGCTGGAACACAAGCATGGCATGGCACGGCCTGGGTTTGTAGAGGTGCGCAATGCACATCACTGCCCAATACTGTATAGAGCCAAAACGGCCCGCAGACGCCACCTACGCCGGTGGGTTTGAGCTTGCCGACCTTTCGGGACGATTTTATCTGATCCCTTGTATCTGAGAGCCAACACTGCAGACACACCCTCTCTCTTCTGTTACTTCAACCTCAACCCTAGCAACCTCCTGCCCCTTAACCTGATGCCATTTACAATCCCATCACACGATTCAGAGAAATCGATGGCAAGATCGATAACCCTTTAAGGATATTGTTCTGCGTTCCATTTTTCTCCCTCACGGACCACAATCGTGCAACTCCAACCCAACCTACACGCCAAGACCGCTACGACCGGCTCGTAGCGCTGCTTGATATTTGGGATCTCAATGTCGGACGATTGGCTCTGAGATATTGTGTTTACACTGTGGCACATGTCTCGTCCTTACCCCAAGATCTCGAGCTTGGCACTGCTTAAGCTTATTCTTGATCATTAATCAGTGACTGGTTTCAACATCGTGCTATTCATATCGAATATTGACTCTAGATGCCAACCCGTCACAGCATTCCGTTCTTGACTTCGTCTTTTCTCTCCTCCCACAATGTCTTGCCCGTACAAGAACATACAGTCTTGTCGTTATCCCACACCCCTGCGCTCCTTGCGATAACTCCCACAACGGTGTTCTCATCATTCTCCAGTGGCTTTCCCGTAGATTCGTCCTGTCTCGTCACGGCAAAAGCATGGCCAATAACCTCCCATACCTGGAATGATCGGTCGAGGAAAGCGGCTCCTCGACCATCTGGGCCAATCTCAACAGTGCCGAGAAACCCCCTCGTTGACTTCTCCTGCTCAGGCCTTGCCGTCAGGTCGCCCTTCCAAACTGGCCCAGTTGAAGATGCTCCATGCTTGAGATCACCATATTCTCGGATAGTCGCTCGATAGGTTCCTGGTACCACACCACGTAGTGTGAGATCGACTAAGGTCACCGTCTTTGAGATTTCAACCATGCGTGCCAGCCCCCTGACATGTCTTTCGTTGAACGTCACTGCCTCCTTCGTCGTATCATTGTCAGGGTGATGGTATGTTTCCAATATACTGACTGCTGCACCTGCAAATTGGAAGGAGAAACAAGGAGATCAGCAAATGCACCAAGCCACAATCTCATTCTGGAACTCTCTAAACCAGCCATGTCACCAGCAAAATCAAGCTTCAACAGCCCGGTTTAGGGAGTCACCGACAAGGGATCAAATGAAGTCCTGCACCTACTGTTTGATCCTCCCGTCCCTCGTAGGATTGCATCTCGACCTGTGGCTTCGATTGCTTCTACAATGGCTGAAGGCGGTGCTGTTGGTGTGCCCAAGGTTAGCATATAAACCTTGAAGCCAATGCGAACCTGTCAAAACCCCTGACCCGAGAGACGTGCCAGGGTTCAGACGATAAACGGACGAGTGTAATAGAAACAGAAACCTCTCAGCCGTACCTGATCCCACAACCCTCACTGATTGCTCTTGTAGATTAGCCTCGACTTTGGATATTCCCTTGAGCTTGTAAAGTGTGTCTGAAACGTCCTTGACACAGCCATCACATGTCATGGGAACAGCGAAAAGGGTCTGTTTCGTGTTTCATTAGCAAGCCGTGCTCGCTCGCTGCTCCCACCTTATCTCGCAGCCAAGATATGAAAGGGGTCGTGGCTTTGCAGATAACCAGAAGAGTACGGACCTCAAACTTCCTGTCGACAGTCATCTTGCTGTGTGCGGTTTTGTTATCGGCAGTGAGCTGGGTTGCTGTGCTGAACTGCCGCCGGGTGTTCCAAGTATATGCGCCCGCGGAAGCAATGAAAGCAAAGCTAGAGATGCCGACTATGAGTCTTGTCGACTTATGCATGGAAGTACAAGCCAAGTTGAAAATTACAAGGAGAAGACCGCGATAAGAGAAAAGAAGGGCTGCTTCACTTAGACGAGCTTACTTGCCGTTGGTTTATCGTTCGCGATTCGTAGAAATTATTATGTCACTTAACACACCTCCGTCACGCTTGCTTTGAAATCGCCTGTCTCTCGGCTCCGCTGCTCGGAGGTTTCCAGAAGGGCCGCCCGCGATGGAGAAAGCTTGGGCCATCTGCCATGTGATTGGTCACGACGCAGCAACTTTTACCCAGGCGGAAATCCAATCGTATCAAACTTTCGTGCTCATCCGATCGAACCATCACGAACAACGCCCGTGGGACGAATTGCTCCAGGGACCGCCGAGACCGACGGAGAGCTCCAATTGAGCCGCGACACGCTTCTGATTTACGACAGAGCCGGTTGGATGAGGGGACTTGCTCCCTAGCATCCCTTCAAGATGTCACAGACAGTCGGTCTCGTAAGTCCCAAGGATCGTCGGGATGCATTCAACAGGATCTAACACCTTCGCAGACCCGTCTCGCCTACTCCCGATCATGGCATCACATATCCGCCTCGACGCCTCATTCCACACTCTCCACGATCAAATCCCCCCCTGATGCAATCACACCACCCTCCCTAGGCAGACTGGCCAGCCGCATCGCCGTGCTGCTGATGGGCAAGCACAAGCCGATCTGGGACCCGTCGACGGACTGCGGCGACTACGTAGTGGTGACCAACTGCGCGGCGCTGTACACCACAGGCCTCAAGAAGTGGCGCAAGACGTACTACAGGCACAACACCCGGCCGGGCTCCCTGCGCAGCGTCACGATGGACCTGCTGATGGAGAAGCACGGCGGCGCCGAGGTGCTGCGCAAGGCCGTCAGCGGCATGCTGCCCAAGAACAGGCTGCGCGACAAGCGGCTGGCGCGGCTCAAGGCGTTCGAGGGTGAGGCGCACCCCTACGACGCGAACATTGTGCGGTTCGGGGACAAGAAGGTCGGCGAGGAGGGCTGGCAGGATGTGGTCAAGGCGATACGGCAGGCGGACAAGGAGACGCTATAGTGGCAGAATGAGCGAGGAGAATTGATGATAGGCTGGTGGCCTTGTGTGACTACTAAGCATATTGAGCTTCATCATGGCTGGACAGTGAGATCAGTGAGGCGATAGGAATCGCACGGAACTCAGCGTGTATATGTATCTATCTACATGTATAACATGGCATTTAAAACGGCATTTACGAATACACTTATTCACCACTAAACAGGCGAACTTGTACTTGTCATTTGTTGAATAGGTTATATCATTTTTGTATTTTTTTTATATGTTATTTGGTATCAATAAGTGTAATTAAGATCTCATCCAGAGATGGGTCCGGAACCGCCCAAAGAAACACCATTAGACCCAGGGAGTATTTGGCCAATCTAAAACCGAGCGCCAATGGTCATGATTTCATGAATATGCGTTTTGATGTTATACAGAATCTCATAGCTTCGACCCCAGGGTGCGGGCGACCTCGCACTTGATAAGGCCGTTGGGCCCGGACTGGGGAGCATAGACTTCGGCGTCCTTGCCGGTGTTCTTGATGCCCTTGTGCCAGCTCAGATCTAGCGAAGGTATTAGTAAGGTGTACTCGGTGGAACGGGTACGAATTGTCTGATTATGAACATACCAATCTCAAAGTAGTGCTTGTTCGGCAGAGAGTAGTTGGCCAGCTCGACCTGAGGCACGGCGTCCAAGATCTGCTCGCACATCTTGTACATGGTGTTCTGGACGCTAGCGCTCTCGTCGGTAGCGAACGTCTTCATGGTGATGCCGCGCGCAGCCTCCCAGGCGGCGTCGAATTTGGGGGTCACCTCCTTGATAGCGGCTAGCGAGGGGAACTTCTTCCAGGTCCAGCCGCAGTCGACGTCAGTGCTGAGAATACGGTCCCAGGTCTCGCCGAGGGTGGTGAACTCGTCGCGCACGAAGCCGTAGAAGGCGGAGCCGGTGCTCTTCAGCACCGTCAGGCCTACGATGCCGCTCTTAATCGCCACGCCATCCCGGGTGACGTCGACGTCGACATTGCGCGTCTCCTGACCGTCGCGGAAGAAGCTGTGCGGGTGCTCCTTGCCGTCAACCACCATGCGGGTCCAGCGGTGCACGATGATCTTGATGTGCGCGATGCTGATGTGCGGGTAGGTGTCGAGGAAGTGCTGGCCCAGGGTGCTGGCGAACAGCTCCGGGGGGTTGACCGGGTGCTCCTTGGCCTTGATATAGATGGTGTTCTTGATGGAGTCGGTGGCGACAACGACGCTGTTGTCGGCCTCGGTGTAAGAGGTCTCGATCTTGCCCTCCAGGAGACAGCACACAGTCATCTCCGTCACGGACTGTACTCCGGTCTTCTCGTCACGGTGGACCTTGTAGACACGGACATTGTCCTTGCCGTAACGTGCGGAAGCAAGTCTGGCCATTGTCTTGGATATGTGGGAGAGGGTCTGCTGCGAGAGGATACGAATTGGCAGTGCTGACTCTTTGTAGGAGGTTGTCGAACTCTAAAAGCACGATGGTACAGTGGGAATATGAGATAGCAGGTAACACTAGTAAATGGAGAGGCTATATGAAGCAAAGGCTGGGAGCAGGAGGCCAATTACAACACCTGGATCACGATGAAGCTGGAGACTGATGAGATGAGTGAAACAGCAAGAGGGAATCCACAAGAATTTACGGAGATGGGCGGTGCGGCATATTTATATTCAGGCCTGACCTCATCCTGCTTGGTGTTGATGTAAGAGGCCGAGCTACCTAGCTACCTGCCAACACCACACATCTCTCTATCTATCTAGCAGCAGCGGCGTCCGTCGAGCTCCATTGCTAGCAAACGAGGGCCGGAGAGCGCCTCAGATCGGCACACAAGCAGCCACCGCCAACAGCCGGCCGTGGATTTTCGTTCTGCTGCATAGCAACCCCCCGCGACGACGTAGCCAGACGCGAGGCCGAGCTCAAGCTTTGGCGTACTGCAGCCTGTCAAGCTCTGCGGATGGTATCAATGAGGCGACTTTAGGCGGGGAATACAGCGGTGGGCCGCTCCGGAGCCCGCCGACGGCCTTCCTGGAGATGGCCTCCCCCGGTTGACGGGGGCCGCAGCACGCTCCAAAAGCCTATTTTCTTGACAGAATTTTTCCACAGGAACTGGGCTGAGCGCGACTCAGTGACAATTGATAAACGATAACATCAGGCCCAATCTCGTCCGGGCCACAGCCTAGGAGCCGTTTAGCTAGCATTGTCGGCCGAGCTCCATTTAATCGCTGCAATTGCATTTGATGCACTCTGACGATGGAGGGGCCCGTCCTCAGGGTCCAGTCCATCACGTTGCGGGGTTCAACTCGCTGGCTGGCTCGCCATCAGCCTTGTTGGAACACTTGGTTCTGCACAGTCTCTCTCATGGAATAGGTATGTAAGATACGATAGACTGGTCAGTCTAGCGGAGTCTGCCATCATCGTACGACCAACTCTCTCTGAGGCGCGAGTCTCGAGTGCGTATCGCTCATTATCGGCGACATCACCGTCGATGACTGGTCAATCTTGACATGGAGCCTCGCTATGGGATGTGATAAGCTAATGCCAGATCGGGATCGAGCTCTCAGATAGCCTACAAGCTCTCTTACAGGTTGGGGGCATCACCAAGGCATCATCATACTAGATGATACCAGCCCCTCAAATGCGAAGAACCTCACAGAAGTCAAAACCTGAATGAGTTTTGGTAGGGTAAGCTAAGATCTCATCTCTTTGTCTAGAGTGAAGACTGGCCATGCGATAGATGGAGCTTCTACGCCGCTCCCAACATCAGGGAGGCGGAAAATGCCCAACACAGTGTCGCGGCCGCATCTCTCCCGATCTGTCTTTCTCCCTTTGATGGACCTGCCAACCTCATTGACCTCATGTAGGCCGATATGTATGTAGTGCTCCAAGGAGGAATGCTATCCCACTCGATTGCAGATCAGAATCCATAGATCGGGATCTCTTATAGACGGATATTAAGGTGCCCCTCAATAACCTATAAAGTAGTCCCTCCATGTCGCTGGTTGGCTGGTGTGGCTTGCTCTGCCGCACTCTGGGCTGCAAAGCGGTTTTGGCTTTGCTTCGTTGGAGGGTTGAGGTTGCGTTTAAGCCCCTGCCCCGTCTGGGTGTCGAGAGCGCAAGCGAAGGAGGATGCCGCCCAGGGAAGCGCCCCTGTCAGCCACAATCTGGTTGGTAGGCTGTTGTCACAACGACCTCCACACTCAAGCCAACAGCAGTGTGGTGGCCCTTGCTGTCCTGACTGCGACAGAGCATGCGGATGTGTGATTGAACGACATTTTGGATGGTGATCTTGCTTGAGGGCGCAGAGAATTAGCAGCTAGAGACGCTTTCCCATCGCTTTCTTGTCGCATCTACACAGACTATCCATTCTTATCCCTCAACAGCACAGCTAAAGCGCCCCTCCTGTGGCTGTCCCACATCCCGTCTCCACCCAAGCTTGGAAGTGACGACGAGAACGACTGAGCCGCAAGCCTTTGTAGCGCAAGCAAAGCCGACTTGAGCGAGAACACATCGAATTGTACAACTAGGCGGGGTCTGACAACTTTGCATATATATGAGATGACACAGCAGCGACCCCGCGACCATCGCACTTCATAAGGCTCCCTCGAATGGTCCAGCTGAGGCTGCTGTCCTGTGCGGAGGACAATGGCTGGGCCATCAACCATGTTGAGCGCCTCAGCAACCCCGACCCAGAAGAGCTTCGCCTCCCAGCAGTCAGCCTCGACCCTTAGTTCTATAGCTTCATCCAGACCCAGCCTCGACAGAAATGATGGCGGGGGAGGTGGCCTGCAACCCCCAGCGCCCGCCAATGGCGCCGCCTCGGTGCGCAATTTGTCTGCGTCCGCCGTGAGCTTCGCACCTCGAGGCTCGAGTCTCAACCCATCCTCCATGGCTGCACCTGGCAGTTTCAGTTCCGACCTACGCAGCCAGATGGCTCCGAGCCGGGCGGGCAGCCGACCAGACCTCTTCACGAACTTGGAGAAGCTCGACGAACTCGACGATGACGGACTTGCTCAGCAGACGCTCGCGGCTCTGCGTGACGCCCTCAGCCGAGAGATGAAGATCAAAGAGGGTAGCGAGAATATGCTGGAGGCGTTGAATACAAAGAAGGCGAAGCAGACGAAGGAGCAAAGGCAGAGAGTGGAGGCAGAGCTCAACAGCTCAAACATAAGAATAAAAGACCTGAGACAGAAGATATCAGATGCCCAAAGGTCAAAGGCGACGCCAACAACACCCATTAGGTCGAGGACCGAAGATATGTTTTCGAGAAATGGTTTACGATCGCCACCCAGTGCCTCAAGAAGTGGTGCCGATTCGCCTTTCGAAGAGCCAACAGAGTCCCCCACATTTGCACTTGCGGAGATCCTACAAGCACTCGAGGTGGAAGGCATGGCACCGGAATACTACGTTGCCAGGGCGAACAATCTAGTTGACCTGTTCAAGCGGTATCCCACCCTCAAATATGATCTAGTTTGGTCTGTGTTTGGACTACGTATGCAGGTCATGCTTCTGAGCGAAAGCAGGGAGGTTGTGGCCGCCGGCTATCGCATGACCCGGTATGCAATGTCGGATGCATCTTCACTCAAGAAGATTCGCACCCTCAATACCGACTACATCGTAGTGTCGTCGCTTATCAAGGACCGAAAAGCAGACTTAGAACGGGAGCAAGCCCTCAAGTTCGTTCGGGCGTTCTTGGATATCAAGGATGGGATTCGGGAAGTCTCGAGAGCGGTAGTCCGGACCGTTGCAGCCATAGCAGAGCAACCGGAGGACCGTCTCCGACCAATTTGCTTGGAAACGTTGGCTGAAATTCTGGTCAAAGATCCACGACTGTTGCTAGCCTCTGGAGGCCTGTCCCCGTTGTCAGAGGCTCTCGCTGAAGGATCCTATAAAGCTCCCGAAAGCTTGACGGCGGCCTTTCTGTTTCTCTTAGACGTCCCTCGAAAACGGAAATACCTAAGAGCCGGGTATGAACTCGAAGTCCTCTTCACGGCTTTCACCGACCACTTTCTCACCAACGAGGCTATCCTGAAACAAAACTCCAAAGCTGTTGCCTCCTCTTTAAAGACATGGTCAGGTCTCATGAACCTTTCTATGTTTGACTTCCGGGCGATAAGGTCTCTTATCACAAGCTTAGATCTGCCAAGCCAGCCAATACGAGAAACCATCATCGACCTCCTCTATTCCTTGCTCAGAATCAAATCCCCAGCTTGGGCCACATCGTACCTCGCTGGTCGGCGGTTGACCACTTATGGCAGGGTAGCCAACTTGAAATCCACAGCTACGAAATCTCCTCCTACTTATGTAGAGGATGATGGAGGGGAGCAAAACTTTGTCGAACACTACACGGCGCTGCTGCTGGCCATATTTATCAAGTGTGGCCTCCTCCCGACTCTACTTCGAGTCACACAGGGGACTGATAATCCGACTTTCAAGCGGAAGTCAACTCTTCTCATGGGCGAAGTCTTGAGATTATCAAGCCGTTTATTACCACCGTCCTGGAGCAGTGATTTGCAATTACTGCCGGAATTGTTTGCCGCAGCCACCAACTTCAAAGACAACGCGCATTATATCTCCACAGGTATCGTGTACCAGATCAGTTCTGTCAGCAGGACTCTGTATAGATCATTGCCATCGACATTTACCCCAGGCACTCTACCATCGAGTAACCCTTTGAGCTTAGGGTTGGAAGAAGAGCAGCCCAAGAGCACGACTTCTGTCAATCTTGATGAGGCAACTTTTAGGCAACTACTCATCGATTCGGGGGTGCTGAGCCATTCAAATTACACAAAATGGAATTGGGAGGTCGTTCTCAAGATCATCGAGGGACCGTTGGTCAATGGAAAGAGGCTAGAAGAAGCCATCAAGGCATCCAAGTTCATTAAGAGAATGATGAGCTTCTATCGCCCTTTCAAGTACAAGTTCTCTGAAATCAAGAACACTAGGAACACGCAGAGATACGTTCGCGTGGGATGTGCTCTGATGCACACTCTCCTTCAGTCGCCACAAGGTATCGCCTATCTCGCCGATAACAAGCTCTTGCGCCAAGTCGCCGAATGTTTGGCTCAATGTGATCCAGTGAGCTAATTGTACTTTTGATAATTGTCTTCTTTGATGCTAACTTGATAATCCAGACGAGCGGGCTCACTGCACAATTCCCAATGTTCTCAAAGGACCGGCTCACTGACACTTTATGCGGAGGCTATTTCCCAATGTTAGGTGTCCTGAGCGGTGATCCGAAGGGTCTCCAGATGCTTGATAGATGGCGAATGTTCAACATGATGTACCACATTGTTGATTTAAAGCAACGGCCAGACTTGATCAAGCTTCTGCTGACCAATTTCGATTATACTCTGCAGGGTCATCCCAGAGTTCTTCTATCAAAAGCCCTGACCGCAGGAACAAAGGACATCCGCATACATGCAACAAATGCACTCCGAAAATACGCCACTAGCCCTCGGGTGAACTCTCCTTTAGCACATGATTCGAAGTGGGCAATTCAGTTGTTAGTAACGCAGCTGTATGACCCTGATGTCGAGGTATGCGCTACAGCAGTAAAGATACTAGAAAAGGCATGCAATACCAAGAACTATCTCGAGTACATTGTCGAATGCCGGCCTGCCCTGGACCATCTCGGAGAAATAGGAGCCCCGCTTCTACTGCGCTTTCTTTCTACCTCAATTGGATATCACTACCTCGATGGCTTGGACTACATCAGCAATGAGATGGATGACTGGTTCCTCGGCAGAAACGACACTTATGTTGGCGTTATTGAAGCTAGCTTGGCTCGGGCGTTTGGAGAAACTGCAGAAGATCAAAGCCATCGTGTCAGCTTATTCGAGGAGGAACCCGATCTGGAGGCTGACAGCCATGTCCCGCCCCATTTCTACCGCGAGCTAACGCGCACGCAAGAGGGATGCAAGCTGCTCCGAGACAAGGGACACTTTGATGAGTTCGCTACCACCATCCGAGACTATGGCATGCAATACGATGACCGCGAATTGATGACCAAAGTGAAAGGCAGCATGTGGGCAGTCGGAAATGTTGGATCTATGGAGCTTGGTGCACCCTTCTTGGAGAGCTGCGACGTGGTGGAACGTATCATCAAGATCGCAGAGACACATGAGGTCATGAGCCTGCGCGGGACGGCTTTCTTCGTCCTAGGTTTGATCTCGCGGTCGGTACATGGTTTAGAGATTCTTTCGGAACAGGGCTGGGACTCGAATACCAATACTCTCGGTGCATCCCTGGGCTTCTGTATACCCAGCGATCTCTCAAAGTTCTTCTCTCTCAAACCGTGGAAGCATGAGACAGCCACCTCGGTAGTCGTCGCTGATACGCAGAAGACGGAGACGGTCGAACCCCCTGCTATGCCGTCTCGACCGAGATCTGAATCGCTTCTCGCCGTGCTTACTGATGATTTAATAGCTGGTTCGGCCGATATGCATGAGCATCAGGTTGTGTTAGATCCAGATCCAACGAATCAGAAGATTTTGGAGCTTTACATCGACCTCGGCAACTCAGTCCTCTTCAATCGAGCCCGAAATGAGCTTCTCCAGCTCAAGCAGCAAAAGAAAGCACCTGGCTTCCGTCAACCTCAGATGTTCCGGAAGGTCATCTCTTTGATGGAGAGCCGTCATTTTCGGTTGAATGGCAGGCGTATGCTCGAGTTATTTGAGCGAAGCGTCCTGAGGCAAGTCGTCTTTGATGAGGAGAGTGACTCTGAAGAAGAGGATGAGATGGGAGGTGGGGGAGGTAGCAGGATAGTGGAAGACCCGGAAGAATATGATGAAGATGATGACTCGGACGATTTCGAGCGCGGGGATGAAAGCTCGGGCGATGAACAACGCACAGAAAGGCAGCGAAGTGTCAGCGATGCAGCTGACCTTGAGCGAAGCAATACTGTAAGGCGAGCCACGGTATCGACCACGTGAGACGACATACGAATGACCGCCATATCGGAGACTTCAGGATACTTACGAAGCTAAATGACAACGTTGATGAACCGAACGTGCTTGGCGATGTTCAGAGACAGGCCGGATGACACCGCACACCTCGTCGAACACTCTTGTGGGAGAGAGAACATGTATTATAGGGACATTTGCAGACACGACCACATGGCGATCTACCCCTTTGCATGTGTCATGGCTTCACGGCGGCCGGAGGCGTTTGCTGCACAACCATCTACTGACATGTATCATATGGTATCAGAGATGATGGGGTCAGGGAAACATGGGGGATTTGGCACGGAGTTGTGGTTTTGTCTAAGTTTTTATCTCAATTTACATTGACTTAACGGAAGCCGTCCAAAAGAAGTTGCAGATGTGATTGAAAAGCCGTAACAAGCCGCACAAATCGTATCTATACGTGCTCTATCCTCATTGACAATTCTTACCACTCATTACCTTTTACCAAGTGAATAGTCCTAGAGCTAATCGTGTTTTTACAGTGAGAGGCCCTTCAAACGTATGATTCTAGGCGATGGAGATAGGGCCGACTGGGCGATTACGTGATTTGGAGAGCTCTGAGCTATGTGAAAAAGAAGTTCTGCAATTGAGTACCTAGGCAGGGACTATGTGACACTAGCACACATTAAAAATGACAAGCCCCGCCCCCACCATGATGAAGCTGTAGCTTTCGTAGCAGACTCGACAGCTATATCGCTCGTTCTTGCACACCAAGGTGTGAGAATCAATCTTGAACGCCGTAATCATGGTCAGTGGGAAAGTACTGGTCATAGCTGGTTCAGACAGCTCCGGTGGAGCGTAAGTTGCCTATTACCAAAGACAAACTTCCCACTGCTTTTCGGTAGAAGGATCTCCCTTTATGGTCTCACTGACATGGTCTCATGAATTCAGGGGTCTAGAGGCTGATCAGAAAGTCATTGCTGCTCATGGCTGCTATGCGATGACGGCCACAACGGCCTTGACGGCACAGAACACAACGGGTGTGTTTGACATCCATCAAGTGCCGCCGGAGTTTCTGAAGAAGCAGATCGATGCGTGCTTTGACGATATAGGTGTGGACGTGCTTAAGACGGGTGAGTTGGAATTATGTTGACACCTTTGTATTTGGACTCTGACTCTCTAACACACCTTTCAAAGGCATGCTGGCATCGGCGTCGACAATAGCATTAGTAGCGAAAGTGCTCGAGGAGCGCAATGTGAGGAACGTTGTGATTGACCCGGTAAGCTCAGATCTCTTAGCCTACCTATGTTCCTCTCTTGCATGTCTCATATCGTATCAGGTGATGGTCGCAACCACAGGCGCAAAGCTCCTACCTTCTGAAGCTCTACGGGAGTTGCGGACACATATTCTCCCGCAGGCCACGCTGGTGACGCCCAATATCCCGGAGGCGCGACTTCTGCTTGCCGATGCCGGTCATGGAGATATGCCGCTCGAAACCGTAGCGGACCTAGAGGTGATAGCAAAGACAGTGCAGAGCCTTGGTTCGCAATGGGCCCTTGTGAAAGGCGGCCATGCGCCGTTCCGCAGAGACCATACCATTGCTAAGACGGATGCCGAGCGGGAGATTGTCGTTGATATACTGTATGGCGAGGGACGCGCCATACGGATACAGACCGAATTCCAGGACTCAAAGAACACGCATGGCACCGGATGCTCGCTAGCGTGTGAGTGATACATCATGTGTCCCGGTGATGTATTGAAGAAACGTCACTGACTCCCTAATTACAGCCGCCATTGCTTCTAACCTCGCAAAGGGACTGGATGTTCCAAGTGCCGTGAAGGCTGCTTGCAGATACGTTGAAGTGGCCATCAGAACCGCGCCTGGGCTGGGAAAAGGGAATGGACCGCTAAATCACTTCCACTCTACTTACACATTGCCCTTCTCACCGTAAGATCCACGGGAGATATTTGTGTCCTGTGCCGCTGCTAATTCACTACCAGGGGTCGATTTATAGAATACCTTCTAGAACGACCGGATGTCGCCCCTACCTGGGATCTCTTTGTAAATCATCCGTTTGTCCTCGCAATGGGCAACGGAACGTTGCCACTTGAATCATTCAAAGGATATCTGATGCAGGACTATTTGTATCTTGTAAGCCCATAACACTGTTCAAAGAGGAGAATGGATACTGACAGTGATATAGATTCACTTTGCCAGGGCAAACGCACTAGCTGCTTATAAGTCCAAAAACATGCGCGACATCGCTGGTGTAAGTGGCTCATTCGTGTCGTGTCCAACCTTCGTCCCTGACAAGTCTAGGCTGCGAGCATAGTCACCCACATCAACACCGAGATGGGATTGCATATCAAGTATTGCGAGGGCTTTGGTGTTTCGAAAGAGGAGATGGTGAATGTTGAAGAAAACATGGCCTGCACGGCATACACGCGATACGTGCTCGATATCGGCATGTCCGAGGACTGGATCGGGTTACAGTTGGCTTTGGCGCCATGTCTACTCGGTTACGGCGTCGTGGCGAGGCAACTTCATGCGGACGAGAGGTCTGTACGGGGCGAGACAAATCGCTACTGGACATGGATCGAGAACTACGTCGCCGATGACTATGTACAAGCAGTGAAGACTGGCTCAGGTAAGTGTCGTGGGGAGAAAGACTGGAGAAGAGGGATCGCGGCTAACGAAGGCAACAGAACTATTAGAGAGACACGCTGTTCTGCAGTCTCCGAGCAGAATAGAAGAGTTGGTAAAGATCTTCATACATGCAACCAAGGTAAGCACCAATCAATAAACTAACACTTCTTTCCTTTTACTGATATTATGAAGATGGAGATAAAATTCTGGGAGATGTACCCATCCAGTTGATAGTGGTCGGGATAAATGATCAACTTTACAAGCATATTTCGCAGAGCTTCATTTATTCAACATAGACGGGTGGGAAATAGATTATCACTGGAGCATATCAATACAGTTATAGTATGGAATATAGTATTGGACTTGACCAACATGGATCAACTTGTGCGGCTGTGAGCTTAGACAGAAAGGGGCTTTGGACAGCGGGTCGAGGCAAACCTGAAACCGTGACAGGCCTTTCGGGCTTTCAAAGCAGCACTGCTGTATGACTGGGTGTGTGGACTAGCAATTCTATGTGTTGTTGAAGCGAATTAGAAGATTATGTTTTTATTGAAGAGATTGTTAAAAGAAATATCCTATACTGTCAAGAACTTAGATTTTCGGCTTCACATAAAAGAGGCTCTTGCCTGTAAGGGACATAGAAGGCTGGTTCAATACCGTGATCAAAGGAAAAATGCCTGGACGTGTATTATGTCAGCAGCTAAGTTTCGTAGAGTGTCCGCCACAAGCGTCAAAACTGGGTCCTCTGGTTGGCCAGACCGGGTGGTCCGAGCGCAGTTGCCCGTCGCTCCTTCGGTCTGCAAACGCAGAAAAAAAATATTTTTGCCCAAGGCGGCCCTAAGGAAATCCCTGAAAAGAGAGAAAGTAGTGCCTTCCCCCATCCAAGCAAGTTTCCCTCCGAACAACAAACAACCATTTCCCTCTCCATCACTTATCCTCCACCCAGGTCTTCTTGTCCTGGATTCTCACTCACGCTCCTTCGCAGTGACAGAGTCGATTTCGGGTCTCCCGCTGGTTTCGATCTGTTAACAGGTCACTTTCTTAATCCGGCGATACAGATCGCTTCACAGCTCCTTATCGGCACTTGGTCCTCTCCCATCACCAATCTCCCACAACAGCAACCTCAGCATGTCTTACGGCGGAGGTTACGGATCGCGCGGCGGCGGTGGCCGCGGCGGTGGCTATGGCGGCGGATATGGTGATCGCGATCGTGGTGGCTACTCGAATGGGTATGTTTTCTTTGTCCTAAATTCAATTGCGACGATAGTTTCGCTACTGGTGCCTCAAGGCCTGTCTCGCCACCTATAACGGGTGTCTCGCGGGGCATGCACTCGTCGTATATCTATCGACTTCTGAACAAATCATCTCACAAACATCATACGGAGCATCTACTAATCTCTCCTGCTTTACAGTGGCTCGAACGGCTATTCCAACGGTGGTGGTTTCGGAGGCGGCTACGGCGGCGGCGGTGGAGGCGATCGCATGTCTGCCCTAGGATCCGGCTTGCAAACCCAGAATTGGAGTAAGTGTATTTGCTGTATTTGACTGCCGTTACTGCGATGCTTACATTCTACTTTAGACCTCGATGAGCTCCCAAAGTTCGAGAAGTCATTCTACAAGGAGGATGCCAAGGTTGCTACCCGCTCTCAGGCCGAAGTCGACAAATTCCGACGCGACCATGCTATCACCATTGCCGGTTCAAATGTCCCCAAGCCTGTCGAGACATTCGACGAGGCTGGTTTCCCCCGATATGTCATGGACGAGGTGAAGGCCCAGGGATTCCCTGCCCCTACCGCCATTCAATCTCAGGGTTGGCCCATGGCTCTTTCTGGACGCGACGTTGTTGGTATTGCCGAGACCGGTTCCGGAAAGACGCTCACCTACTGTCTGCCTGCTATTGTCCACATCAACGCTCAGCCGCTCCTGGCTCCTGGTGATGGCCCCATTGTCCTTGTTCTTGCCCCGACTCGAGAGTTGGCCGTTCAGATTCAACAGGAGATTACCAAGTTTGGAAAGTCTTCTCGCATTCGCAATACTTGTGTCTACGGAGGTGTCCCCAAGGGCCCTCAGATTCGTGACCTGTCTCGCGGTGTAGAAGTCTGCATTGCCACCCCTGGTCGTCTCATTGACATGCTTGAGGCCGGCAAGACTAACCTTCGCCGTGTCACCTACCTTGTTCTCGACGAAGCCGACAGGATGTTGGACATGGGTTTCGAGCCCCAAATCCGCAAGATCATCGGGCAGATCCGACCCGACCGACAGACCCTCATGTGGTCCGCAACATGGCCCAAGGAGGTGCGCAATCTTGCCTCCGATTTCCTCAACGATTTCATCCAGGTGAACATCGGATCTATGGATCTGTCCGCGAACCATCGTATCACCCAGATAGTCGAGGTTGTTTCCGAGGGAGAGAAGCGCGAGCGAATGATCAAACACATGGAGAAGATCATGGACGATAAGGCCAACAAGATCCTCATCTTCACTGGTACAAAGCGTGTTGCTGACGAGATCACTCGCTTCCTGCGTCAGGACGGCTGGCCCGCACTTTGTAAGCACCTATAAGTCAACTTCCGCCCTCAGTACAACGTTGCTAACCTAATCGCAGCCATCCACGGCGATAAGCAGCAGAACGAGCGTGACTGGGTCTTAGATCAGTTCAAGACAGGAAAGAGCCCCATCATGGTTGCTACTGATGTAGCCTCCCGTGGTATCGGTATGTATCATCACCTCCCCTCCCCAATCCCCCTTTAGCAGCTTCCAGCATCTTTATGAGCTGTGCTTTACTCTGGTGTATAGGGGCTTTCTTGATTGCGCGAATTTGCCTGACCTCGTGTCTGGTTGGTCTCCTCTGTGTGGAGTCTTGGGTTCGTGGTGTAGCAGACTCACTGACTGTGCTACACTCGTGTGCTTCTGCTCTTGTACCTGCTTCACTTCCGTGGTACAAGCGTAGAGCTGGCATTTCTTGAACTTGATCAAGCTGTCTCCAAGATTCCCCAAGGCCCAGGACCCGGAGTATTGGATCTCCCACCGGCAATATTTCCGCAATGTGACAGCCCGTCTGCCAAGGAGAGAGTACCGTGAAAGCATTGAACATAATTAGAGCTATCCAGCTATTAGTTCATGCTGGGACGTTGCTATACCTATAATTTTTTCGACTGCTAACCTTTTCCTTATCAAGATGTGCGCAATATTACTCATGTGCTCAACTATGACTACCCGAACAACTCTGAGGATTATATCCATCGTATCGGTCGTACTGGTCGTGCTGGCGCCAAGGGAACTGCCATCACCTTCTTCACTACTGACAGTGAGCTTCTATCATTCCCCAATGGCGTTTGAACTCCGTACTAATTTATTCATCGCAGACTCGAAGCAGGCCCGGGATCTTGTCAATGTCCTTCAGGAAGCCAAGCAGCAAATTGACCCGAGACTTGCCGAGATGGTTCGATATAGCGGCGGTGGCGGTCATGGTCGCTTTGGTGGTGGTGGTTACCGCGGTCGCGGAGGCGGCTATAGAGGTGAGTTCTGCTAGCTATCAGGCCTCTATCATGCTTTGTCTAACCCTGTTATAGGAGGCGCCAACGCCCTGCCACTGAACAACCGCCGTTGGTAAGGCTGTCGACATTCTTCGTTTTCTTGTACTTCTTTCGTATCGCATAAAATTTGCCAGGAAGGCATTTCGAGTTGGCACCATCGAGGCGTTCACTGTAGAAAGGATGGGGATCTTTAGACGCTGGTATTCATCTGCTTTGCAAGACACCACCCCAGTGTCAAAACATGTGTTATAGTCAACGGTTTGGCATTATATTCACTGCGTCGACTTCCGAGTCAGAGGCGGGATCATATTGCAGAAAGACTGCAGGATCATAGGACATTCATCTTGTCACCAAATTGCATCAGCTTCTTGGTCAGGCAGGGGTTAGTTCTCCATGGGCTTACCCCGTTTGGAGAGGTAATTCAATCAGTCGGACGGAGGTGGTCTGCTGAGAAAGGGTGAACATTCACATTGCCTCTGTGCTTACATTACAGCAGCTTTTCGTCTGATTTGGGTCTGGTCTCCGTGAGAGCGTCGTCTGCCGACGATTGTATCACCAGTCTGTCCTTGATTTGACCGAAGAGCCCCTCGGGCTCTATGCTCATTCACATAGACTTGTGCTTTGACAAGGTATACCATCAATAGCTTAATTTGAGACGTTTGTTTAACTCCATGTTCCAATGATTGTTTCAGTGATGATCCGCGGTCTATTTACCTTTCCTCATCAAGCGTATCTTACAGACATTAGGCATGCTAGTCGTGGCTGTTGAACTCATAATCAAGCTAAATTTCATATACAAACTTGTTTGCACTGCCATTTCATTCACTTTTACTTGACTTTAGCCCGCGAATGATTTTACGACGTAACAGCCACCATCAGCTCCAACGCTGCCCGGTATGTGATGAGGTCATGCTATTGCCCTGATGACACCAGGTCCAAGATATCTCACGATATCTCGATCGTTCCAGCATCGAGCAGCATAAAGATCACGGGAGTAAATCAATTTGTGATCTGACTTACACTTCCTACAATTTCTCGGGTTGTCAAGGCAAGAAGACACGAAGCTCGCCACCGACCGCTTTCCATTACCGCCTTCTCGATCACAATGATGGAACGCTTGACCACGTGCGTTACAACACCGGACAAAACGCCATCGTCAACGCTGCCGTCGTAGGCCCGCGGGATCCACGTGTCAGTGGCTGGACTGGCAACGAGCCGGTCAAGGCAAGCCTTCGCCACTCAAGATTGCCGAGAGGTGATGGCTGCTCAGGTCGTCAGGGCCTAGACAACAAGAGGGAAGAACAAATGTGAGCACTGCTTGTTAAACGCCGTGGCTGTTGAATGTTGCCAGCCCTGGTGCACTAGTGTGCTGTTGTGCACACGCCAAATTCTTCCTGTTCATAAACAACATAAATGAGCCTTCGATCTATCACTTTTCTTCCCAGCTTTTGGTGCGCAGGGAAATCATATCACAGCCGGCGGTTTCAGCACACCGGAAAGAGCTTAGAGAGAGCGACAGGCACGCAGACTGCATAGTAGTGGAGAGTTGTCATTACTGCAGGTGACGATGGTTTCGCGCAAAGGCACAAATCAGGAAGGCATAGTCCAAATAGTTCGAGCCAATTTGATCGATAGCTTAGAGCTGAACGGGCAAGGTCTCAACAACCCCCCCGGACGGACTGGCTGTCCGTCAGACATACTTACTGCAGCTGGCTACTGCGGTTTCAACAGTTTGGACGCCAGCTAGATTAGACACTTGGCCATCACGTAGGTGCTTGTGGCGTAATAACGGCAGGGCTGAAAGCTGGTTCAAGTATGTGATAGGCAACCCAGTAGTCTAGAAGCAAGTCGAGGCATATTTACAGCGCAGGACAGAATGTTCCAAAGGGTGCAAACACCACGCCTAGAAGGGGTGGCGGGCGAGCTCTTGTGCATGAGACGAAGCCTTCTTCGGATCCGAAGCTGTCGACAGCCATGCTAAATATGAGACATGCATGCCTCGTCTACAGAGACAAGAGAGTTAATCGTACGTTTATGATGCAGACGAGCAGCGGTCTTGTGCTCTGGGCGGGCAGGCTCTTGCTCGCGAATCGAAGTTGGGCGATCAGAGACATGCGTAGCCATGCGTCTATTCTCTAGATGGCTTCGCCGATCTTCTGTTCTACATGTTCCGGAAGGGCTCCCCTCGAGAGGCTCCCACACTACTCACATTGCTTTTCCCGCGCCCGTCCTTTCGGCTGCCGCTCGCCTCTCACCCGTCAACATCTAGAAACAGACACAGGCAGCACGGGATGGGCTGGATCTTGCAGGAACAGTTCGCCTTCCTGTCTCGGTCGTCTACCTGCACACGGGGCAGCACAGCGAGCACAGGACCCCTTTGCATCTCCGTTTCCCGCGTCCGCACTTCTGCCCGCCGGATAATGCCCGCGCAAGGAAGAAAAGGGACTGAGACAGGAGACCAGGAGACTGCTATCCACCAACCACCCGAATCCTGATGACGTACATGGCGCTGGAAATAAGCTGGGATAGGCATGAGGAGGAGATCAGTCCGCTTTCTTGGATAGACATTCTCATGCAGTGTCTATGCACTGCTGTACAGTATGCAGTGGGCACTTGATTCTGGGACAGTCTGGGACAGTGTGTGTCGTCTGCGTACAAGAGAAGTATGGAATTCTCCGTATGACGAATATCAGGGTGCTGCTGCACGCCGCAAAATTAGGCCCCCCGAAAGAGGTATCACATACGCGTGGGAATATGTATGTTTTATTTGCTTTTGCCGCTGGATTGCTCCACAGGGCGCCCCCCTTTCACCCCTTCGCACTCTCCCACCACGGGCGGGTGGATTTGGGCTGAGGTTTCACTCCTAGACCCAGGTTGGCTGACTTCAGAGCACATTAGGTGAAATTAGGAGTCGTGGAGATGTGGCTGGCTTCGCTTCAAGTTCACGGACAAATTAGGTAACCCTTCCCTCTGCTTTGCTCTACAGACTGCCGAGGATTAGCCTCTTCTCCCACAGTCCCGGCGGCCAGGCAGACGGAATGCCTGCTGTAAAAGTCCCTGGCGCCATCTTGTTGGGAGGAGATCAAAGCGACCTGTCACTTAACCCCCGAGCGACGGACACTGAGTGTGGGATGGCGCAAGTGTACTATGCAGAACGCACAGCAGTGGGAAGCTTGCTCTACCACCTATCGAGATCTCGCGGAGGAGCCTGGGGACGAGCATAATGAGCTAGTGAGCAGGCTAGCAGTGTGTATTAGCAAGCTGTTTGTATGGTGTTCGTGCTATACAAGCACCAAGTGGACCTTGAGAATGTCTCTAGCTTGCATCGGATCTTGCGAACTTGGATGCCGAGAAGCCACATGTCTGCGCTTCGCGTATGAGTCTGACATCCAGCCTCTCGAATGAGGCGTGCCTATCAGATGCTGTACTTCGATGCTTGAGAGCATAAGTTATCCTTTGAGCAGTGTGAAAACTTGCGCCGGAGACCCATCCGGAGGACTTTCGAACTACCACCACATTGGCCTCGTTTGCCGGATGTGGTAGAAACGGATATTGATGATGCTGCAACTACATGCAAATCCAGTGGACATCATCAAAACGTCGAACATGTGCCGATCTCTATCACGCAGTGCCCACCCAAGCCAGTGTAAAACTGGTAAACCTCAAGATCAGTCTCAGATTGCCCTCAGGGGTCCGCGGAGGCATGGTTTGGTGGCACCTCCATTGCTCCTTACATACGGCGTAGTCGAGTAGCATTGGAGATAGTCAGATTAGCGTCTTTTGCTCTGCGTGTGGGCTCTACTCTAGGCCTAACACGGTTCGTCTAACGATTGCGGGAGCCAAAACAGGAACAGCAAGCAGTTCGGCCACGAGCTATGCGAACCACGCATGAGCATCTGCGTGTCTGAGTTGCTGCAACAGAGAAAGGTCAATTATTGACCCTTCATGAAATGATCCACATGCCATGCCAACGCTTACGTATCTAGATAAGAGTAACTTTGAAAAAGCTCATAATCACATGCGGCGCATGGTTTGAATATCGCAGGTCTGGAATCCTGAGTGAGGCTAACCGTTCTCATGTTCTTCCCCGAGACAAATGGCAGCTAGGCTGACTCGGCCTCTTTCACGACCAAAAAGCTAGACAGACCCCTAGCCGCCCCACTAGTCATGTCATATGGAAATAAACAGGCTTTTTGGTAGAGCTTGAAGATCCCCAGATCTAACAGATCTAACGGCGGTGAGACCAAGCTGTGTGACGCGAGCTGCGGCTTGTTTAGCCTACGCGAGTCTGCGGTAGACGGTATATCGAGCGACGATGGCCGCTTGGACCAAGTCTGTACTATCAGTAGGGCAATACTAGACTCAGAGCCTCAACCCTTCTAAGAAACTGTTGAAAGGACCGCCGTTTGTAGCCTCAGAGGCGCACCGTTGAGACAGCTGTATCCCCTTGCTACACTGGCAGCTTTTCACCAGTCACTCTTGTCGCACACCACCCATACACGCAAGCACGAGATAATGTGCACGGCTGAGCGGCTGAGCGGGTGTCGGGATAATCGCCCGACTACAGCACCCACGATGCTCATACCCGAGGTCGAACAATTCGTGGTAGAGGAAGGCCGGGAACGTGTCCCGCAATAGACCCGCCCAAGGCCGAGATCGTACCTTGAGAAGAGGCGGCGATATGCTGATGACCACCGTCGTTGCTCCTCCTTGATCCACTGCTAATGGGGCTCAGGAATCCATAACGGCCTTACCAAAGATGGTAATTCATCGCAAAAGTACAAGACGCCGTCAACAGATCGGTCGGAGTAACTGCGACGCTTGTCGACTCCGCTAAGTCCGCGTACAAGGAATGCCTGTACTGTGTAGCTATGTCTCACTTTAGCTCGCCGACACGCGTGGAGACATAGGCTTGGAGCCAATGCGGCAACCTGTGTAGTCAGCAGCGATCAAGCTGGCCAGATGCTCATGCAGGCGATAGAGACCGAGACCCTTCCTCTGATCGAGGCCGAACAGTAACACATCCACATTCATGGTAACGTCGTCGAGCTCGCTGCGATTGTGTACGAGAACATGC